AGAGAGAGAGAGAGAGAGAGAGAGAGAGAGAGAGAAGGAAGACAAGCGAGAAAGACAAGAGAAAGAGAACGAGCGAATAAGAGAAAGAAAGACACAGAGAGTTGAGTCCAGGGGAACAGAAATACAAGCCAGAACTCACCAATCCTTCTGTCTATATCTCAGGTAACCCACTGGCAGCACCCAAACTTCCACGCGTACTTCCCAGCTGGGAATTCCTTCCCCTCTATCCTTGGAGACATGCTGTCCGACGCTATCGGCTGCATTGGATTTTCGTGGGTGAGTTCCGGGGCATCGCGTTGGTTCCTGGCTATCAGCTACATCGTTTGCTTCTCGTTTCTTTATACAATATAGTGTAAGTATTTTATACACTTCTCGGAGCAATTTAGATAATTTGTGCAGCAGGTTTCTCCAACCGCCTCTGACACGAAGACCCAGTATGACTATCATACGTTATTCCAGCAAACAGATCGATATGCATGCACTGGATACGACACAAAAAGACTAATTTTCCAGACCGAACTCACGTCTTCAACGTACAATGACAAACGTGCTAACCCCTACACCACTGACGCTGAATTTCATTTGTTTAATGTGGGTTGAGCTTTGGTTGAATTCAGAGCATTCTAAGGTTAAAAACATTCTGAATTCATCACCGGAGTGATAAACTACTACTGGCCCACATGGGCGGTACCGCTTACCTGTTGACGATTAATGATTTGGGTGGGTGGTGGGTATCAACGATGTATTGACGCTTTAAAATACACGTAGGTGAGTGGTACGAAGATTCTAGCCTTTTAAGGGTGGCGACGGTGGGCGTTGGCTACACGAAGGTTAACAGTCAAGAATTTAAACTGTCCTCCTCCAGCTTCGGATAGTTTAGAAGTAACAGAGTGGCAAAAACACTAAGAGACACATTATTATGTCAACAAATGAAAAAAACGTCAACCACTGAGAAGATGAGAGAAATGAATATAGATTCTATTTACAAACATTTTAAATCCTCACTTGTATTCGGCTTACTCTCGGCAGTCATATAACGTCCAACTACATGTATGACCATGCCTGTGTTTGTCCGTTGTTTCCCTCCTAACACAACAGGCCTCTATCTCCCCCGATCTTTGCTTTGTTGTATCATTTCGTGAAGCTATAGCCATTGTCACAGTTAATGTTTTTAATGCATAATGTATGATGTCAACGAAAGCTTGAGAATTTATAGTGCTCCAATTGAAAGAGCTGCAGTAGCGTTCATAGAAAACTACATCTCCCCTCGACTACTAACCGCAACATAGGATGAAAAAGTACAAAGTAGAGATGTATGATGTAGTTAAACATTTTAAAAAAGGATTTGAAACATGGCACCGAACTATTCCTTAGAAGCCACACTTCTGACGTCATTGATCTATGATATAATGTTTGTGACGTCACTCGTCCCCAGGCTGCCAGCCCGGCGTGTGCAGAGCTGGAGACCCTGGTGCTGGATTGGGTCGGTGAGTGACTTAAGCAGGGTTAAGTTGTGGCAGGGAACTCAAACTCAAAACCACCAGGGGGCCGCTAAAGGTAGTAGAGTCAGGATGAGCCTGGGTCGGATTAAACATTCCACACACACACACACGCACACACACACACACACACACACACACACACACACACACACACACTCACACTAACACACACACACAGTGAAATATTCCACAAATAAGTTGTTTATTTTTTTTTAAAGTACTGTTAATTCATTTTTCTCAAACCGTATTAGTCAATAGCGAATCGAAACATGAACGGTTCTTGAGAACATCGGCTTCTCTTACCTACTGCTTGCTGCCAGAGACCCAAACAGCGTTTCCTCTTATAATAATATTATAGCTTTGACAAGAGGGAGGGGTGTACCCACAATAATCTTTAATGCAAAATTGGAGCTGCAAAATGTTGTCCTGTGGGCCTCAGTTGATCACCCGTGCGTAGCAAGTTTGAGATTTTTTATTTAAAGTGTTTTTCTACCCAAAAAAATCTGGTGGTGCTGTCCCTTAAAATGAAATAAAGAATAATGATTATAGTTTTACAACAGGACTTCCAAAAAGTTTCGCTTTTTTCTTTGTTTTTTTCATTATTCGGTGCACTGCGTTTGGATAATTTGCTTTGTTTCTGATGCTGTTGTTATTGTTGTTGTTGTCGCTGCTGTTGCTGCTGTTGCTGCTGTTGCTGCTGTTGCTGCTGTTGCTGCTGTTGCTGCTGTTGTTGCATTTACTATAGTTCTTATTCTGTTGTCCATTGTTTAAGCACAGAGTCAGCTGACTCGAACACTCAGTTTTAGTCTTAGGTTTGTACTTATTTTAAAAAACTGCTTGACATCTGAGTTGGTTGGGATTCTTTTTTTTTCTTTTTTTTTTTTGGAAATTTTATTTTGTCTTATTTTGTTTTTGAAAAAATAGGTCAAAAAATGTTGTTGAAAAGATCTGCTTTCTCTGAATTGAGATAGGGAACTAATGGCCTTGCCCTAAATACTTATGTTTTATATGGGTCATTCTGTACTAGATAAAAGAAAACAAATCAAACCTAAATGTGATTGCATGACCTCATTTTGAATCGAACGTCATTACATTGATATCGTCCTTGACGCCAGTCTAAAAATTGTGGTCGCTCGTATATAGAGCACAAATTTGATACAACACAAGTGGGATATAGTACCAAAAACAAAAGCATAGCTTTTCTTAAATCAGGTTCAAGTTACCTGTTTGTCTTTTTACGCTTTGTATTTGAGGTATTTGGACTGATTTTCCATAAGTTAAGTTTATTTAGTTTATAAACTAGATGAAATGACATTTTTTTTTAAAACAAAAAACTTTTATCAAATTAGGTACTAACACACTATCTATTTTATAGGCTAGGCATTTTAGGAGGTGGACCTATTTCTTTATAAAAGTGTATTCAGTTCACAAACCATTATTATGTTTACTGCTAGTGCTTTTTTATATTAAAGACCCAACTTTTCCTTAATGAGGTTCTAGAACTTTATAAAATATCATACATTTTTATGTCATGTATTTACCATACTATGTTGACTGTTTTACTTTATGAAAGTTTTCAGTTCACAAATTATCAAACAAGCTGACAGTATTTTAAAAAGTAGACAAGGTTTTCTTCGATTAATGATCAGTTCACTAGAATGCTATTATATCCTTTAGGTTGTGATTTTGCAGTATGTGTTTTACTTTAAGAAGGTTTTTAGAGAATAAATCATAATATCGTAATATGAACTCATAGTATTTCCAACCCCCCC